AGATGAGCAAAAAGCATTCAAATGGTACTCGAAAGCAGCAGAGTCAGGACACCTTAACGCGCAATATAATCTTGCTCACTGCTACAAAAATGGAGAAGGAACTATCATAGATGAGCAAAAAGCATTCGAATGGTACTCGAAAGCAGCAGAGTCAGGACACCTTAACGCGCAATATAATCTTGCCCTCTGCTGCAAAAATGGAAAAGGAACAATCAAAGATGAGCAAAAAGCATTCAAATGGTACTCGAAAGCAGCAGAGTCAGGACACCTTAACGCGCAATATAATCTTGCTCTCTGTTACAAAAATGGAGAAGGAACTGTCAAGGATGAACAAAAAGCATTCGAATTGTACTTGAAAGCAGCGGAATCAGGACAAATTAACGCGCAATATATTCTTGCACTCTGTTATAAAAATGGAGAAGGAACTATCAAAGATGAACAAAAAGCATTCGAGTGGTACTTGAAAGCAGCAAAGTCAGGAAACCTTGATGCACAAAATAATCTTGCATTATGTTATGAAAATGGAGAAGGAACTATCAAAGATGAAAAAAAAGCATTCGAGTGGTACTTGAAAGCAGCGGAATCAGGACATCTTAACGCGCAATATAATCTTGCTCTCTGTTACAAAAATGGAGAAGGAACTATCAAAGATGAACAAAAAGCATTCGAGTGGTACTTGAAATCAGCAGAGTCAGGACATCTTAACGCGAAATATAAACTCGCACTCTGTTACGAAAATGGAAAAGGAACCATCAAAGATAAACAAAAAGCATTCGAGTGGTATTTGAAAGCAGCGGAGTCAGGAGACCCTAACGCACAATATAGTCTTGCTCTCTGTTACAATAATGGAATTAATGCACAAAATATCCTTTCACGAAACCCAACTTTAACATCATCTTTACAAAATCCAACTTCCGTTCTTCCTTCGCGAAATTCAAATTCGTCATCTTTACAGAATTCTATTTCGGCTTCATCTTCAAAAAATCTAGCTTCCGTTCTTCTTTCACGAAGTTCAACTTTAACTTCATCGTCGTTTTCGCAGAGATTTACCCCATCTTTACTTCCGCAAAAATCAATTTCTCTTTCACGGCATTCAATTTTAACTGCACAGCCAATAATACCAACTTCCGTTCTTTCTTCACGGAGTGTTCTAACTTCAGATCTACGAAATTCAACTTTAGCATTTCCTGTACCAAATATGGATGGCACTGAAAAAAGTAAAAACATTTCACAAAATTCACAAGAGTGTATTATATGCGCAGAAACTTTTGATGTGACACAATTAATTCAAATTTCAATCAGTTGTCAGCATGAGAACAATATCTGTCAAGATTGTGTTGCAAATTATATTGAGCACGAGTTGAGAGACAATGGAAATATTGAAATTAGATGTCCAGACGAAAATTGCAGAAATATGATAACTGAAGATTATATCAAAAAATTTGTTAATAAAACGATCTTCGAAAGGTAAATTTTTGAGTTTCAACGAAAATTTATTTTATTTAATGCTAACTTTTCAATATTAATTTTTATGATTGTTTAATTCTAAAGATATCAAAAGTTGTCTCTTTTGCCTGTGCTTTCGCAAATGGAAGACTTTCACTGGTGCCTAAATCCAAATTGTGGTTCTGGCCAAATTCATCATGAAGGAGGTATGTGTTAAATAGGTCTGGTACGAAATCCTGAAATATCGAAAACCCGAATCACAAAATCCCGAACGAACGACATCCGAATCACGAAATCCCGAATGTATGAAATCCCACATGAACGACATCTCGTGATAATTTTAATATTTCATGGGATACATGCACTATACTTTCGGGATTTCGTGATTCGGGTTTTTGATCTTTCGGGATGTCGTTTATTCGGGAACTCGATCATTCGGGACGTCGTTCCGATCTTTCGGGCTAATGAACGTTCAGGATTTCGTGATTCGGGATATCGACCGTTACCGTATTAAATCAATTTATTAAGTGATAATGAAAATTTTTAATGATTATTTATTTGATTATTCATTATAAAAGACGCTGTACCAATAATGACGTGTCATTCTTGCTCGAAAAAAACATGTATCACACATTCGCTTCCGATCTCAGATGGCTCAATAAGTTGTCCGCAATGCACCAATACTATTGAAACAATTGATATTGAACAAGTACCAACAATTGCAACACAACTCACCATAACACCAGCTTCGAATAATAGTAGTGACAGTGAAAAAAATTTAATACAGAGAATATCAAATCTATTTAGAAAGCTTCGTGCAAAAGAGCGAAACTATGCAACTGAAAATGATCCGAATAAACAACGACGGCAAGAGAATAGAAAAGCGGAAGAAAATTCAGAGGCTTATATTAATTCTATGACAAAAAAATGTCCTAAATGTAAAGCTAATATTGAAAAGAATGATGGGTGTGATCATATGACTTGTCGCGCGCCTAAATGTGGATATGAATTTTGTTGGCTGTAAGTATATATAACTTCCGTGAATTATTTATAAAGTTAAATTCGTTAATAGAAATTGTCATTATAATTTGTAGTTGCTTCGCCGATTATAATACTATTCGTACAAATGGAAATAAGTATCACGGACAAAATTGCAAATATTATGCTTGAAGTGATTACATATTTGTTTAAGGATCCTATGCTGGATTACAAAGAAGAAATAGTATAGCTGCGTAGTGCACTTATCGCTTTCATAATTATAGTATCCAACATTATTATTACATTGCTTCCGTTACTGCGTTTGCGGAATATAAGCGACATTCCCATATTTATTTTTTACCCTATACAGCTGATATGAGATATTATTTTAAAGTATCAAATGCTTATTACACTATTATAGACTATTCATACTCTGTATTTTTGTATAAGAAAATTATCATATCTATTTGAAAATATAAAGAAAATAATTAAGATCTAATCAAATAGCTAAAGGACTTTAATATCATCATCCAAGTAAATGGAATCTGTATTTTTAATCTTAATAGTTATGGTAGGGACAAAAATTAAGGGAGTGAACTAGCAATTGAATGGAGGTAACACACATGATTCGTACATGTACATGTATCGGTAGCATACATGCACATTTAATCGAACACGTAAATTATAGTTGATATCATTTTACATAATTGCGAGCATTCAAATATATTTTTTATAATTAACCCTCTATATCTATTCAATTTGCTTGATAACTATACTATTTTTGCGTGTAATTCAAAAGTTAGTTGGACTAGAGAATTGCAAGCGTAACAAAGGGGCGGTGCTAGAATGAATAATTTACTCGAAATGGGTTTCACTGGGTTCTAAAAGGTCGCCTGCGCCAATCTACACGGAGATTGAGCAACAACGAGGGCAAGGTTAAAAATGTGCAAGAGTTAAGGTAGAATGTATAATCTTTATTTAACGTAAATGACTACTGTCAGCAGGATATTATCTCTAACGGAAATAATAGACTGGAATATTAAACGTTCTATTCGAATAAACTAATATTTATTAGTACCTTCTAAAAATAACGAAAATATATGTAATTCAAATGAACTCAAAGATCAGATTAAAATTTGGCAAAGTGAATTAAAAAGTCTATGTCAAACTGGTAATGTAAAAGAATATATTAATCATTATTATGATATATTTCATAAAGTGGATCCAAATGCAAGAAGTGATTATATAAATGTGAATTGAAATTAGAAAGTTAGATCAGCTGAAAATATTGTTGCATGCACATAGTATTACGTATTATATGTGCTTGAATTTTAGAAAGAAAAGGAATTTGAGTCCAGAATATTGAACATTTTTGTCCATAACATCTACTGACTTGATATCCCAAGTAAATAAAAGTTTTCGTTTTATTCAACAAATTTGCTTCGATAAGTAACACAATAAATGTGTTTGTATATATCGAAGATCGACTAATTTTTAGTAATATTTGTATGAACACAATAAACAATATGTTATGTTATCATTTCATTTATATCGCTGTTTTGTGAAAACGTGAATTAAATGCGCAATGATAGATATAACAATAAAGATAATATACAAAAAATACCACCCATTTAAATAAGCTTTCTTTTTAATGCTCACATTGTATAAAGTTGCATGACACACATACGTAATTATATAACGACAACGATTACATATATCTCGTTTGTTTTTATCATTTCAACCAATTCGCACTTTACAATGAACTCAAAGATGGAATTAAATACTCATCATTGTACCAATTATTTTTGACAATCGGTACATTCATAACAATGATGAGTGTTTAGTTCACAATACTCATGATTGTAGTAAATGTTACTATTGTCCAAAGGATGAGTACTGCTGGCAAAATTTCAAATAATGCAGACGAATTTATAGCGATGAATTGACTAGCGGAGATAAAGATACAAATGGATTATTTGAATGAATTCCCTTTTGAAAGATTTACCAACATTGAATATCTTGCAAAAGGAGGTTTTGGATCAATTTATAAAGCAACCTGGTTGTATTGCCTAGTAAATGATGAAGATTGGGATCATAAAGAAAATATATTTAAACGAGGAAGAGAAACTAAAGTTGTGTTGAAAATATTACACAATTCAACGCAAATTACTCCAGAGTTATAAACGAGGTAAATAAACATTTTCTAAAGTGAAAGCTACTTTTTGTTTCTAGACCAATCAAATTTTTCAAAAATAGATTCTTGGTTATTACGGAATAATGATGATTTATGCAAAAGGGGTGCCGCCCAACATTCCGACACCCCAACAACCCGACACCTAACTTCCCGAAATTCCAGCATCCCGACAACCCAACATCCCGAAATCCAACCTCCCGACAACCCAACTTCCCGACAAACTAGTCCATTATAGGGATCGACAACTAGCATTTTAACATCAACGCGATAAATAATTCTTGGTAATTGAGCAACTTTATGTTAATAACTAACTGATTTATCATAAAAGGGAATTGAACGTAAATTTTAATTACATATCAGATATAATGAAAAGTTAAGGAAATTGAAAGTAAATCTTATATAAAAGAATAAAAGCAACACACATCATTACAAAGAAAGATCGTGCACAATTCCACGAAGAAAATCTAACACAGAACGATTTGCTCGATCATTAATAGCATTTATAATTCTTCCCTCTCTATCAATTATTGGTTTTTGTCGGGAAGTTGTATTGTCGGGAAGCTAGTTGGGAAGTTGGATTGTCGGGAAGCTAGTTGGGAAGTTGGGTTGTCGTGAAGCTGGTTGTCGGGATGTTGGATTTCGGGAAGTTGCGCGTCGGGATGTTGACTCATGCAAAAGATGGGGATCTTAGTAAATATTATTAATTTCAACAAAATTAGATCATTTAAATCATATACATTACATGACCACACATTATGCATGTACATATCTCTATATCATTGCTAACATATAATATTGAAACAATATTAAAGAAAAGTACATGTACATTGTATATTCTCATATACATATATATATATGATTATAACAAAATTTTATTAATCATGCGGTATAAAATATGACAAGTTCTTTAATGAAGAACGATTGCAATCGAACTCGTTTACCTTTATCCACATACACTAGTCGAATGACATCTGATGCAGCAATAAATATCAATCGAATCGAATTGAAAAATATATTAAAATATTGGAGCTTAAAAGTGTCAATTTGTTGGTTCCATACGAAGCTTAATGTTAGTTATTCATTATTCCTTTAATTCATTATTGCTTTCTTTGGTAATGCAAAACAAATTACGATTAAAGTATACTACATTTTAAATCGGGTGACTGAAAACTAGTTATTAACGTTAAATTAATTGAATTTAGCGTAAAACAATCATATCGACCACAAAGTAGTTATTTTATAAAAGGAAATACACGGTATATGATGAATTTTTAATAAAAATCTACAAATCATCGAGACTTAAAGGGCTATCATCCCCTAACGTGATTAGAAGATCGGCATGTTCCACGCCTGTTATTATCACTTGTACTAAATCTTCAGGAATATATTCGACAGCTTCATCAATGGATTGAATCATAAATCGTTTTCCCACTGGTGGTATTGCCTTATTGATGATGAATGAAATCAAAAATGCAAAGGTTGTGCGCTCACCAACAGCAATTTTTCGATCATATATTCGTTTCTTGGTTCTTATTGACACCGTCTTTACAATTTTTTCTAACTCTTCTAAATATATGTAGACAATTATATGTATAATTGATTTATGTGAAAATTAATTAATTTAATATTTTGGCAACAAAGTATTTTAATAAAAATAACATGTTGTTACATACCTTGTTGTTTGATACATGTATTGTCTTGATTCAACAAAAATGAAATCTTTCCCTGTTCATTGGATTCTTCTGTCACGTTTACAATAGGACGTTGATTATTGATCTCTATATCATATTCAGTAATTACATGGTCTAAGGTTACATACAAACAAGTATTTTTTTTTTTAGCAAAAGCAATATTTACGAAATACTAATTTTACCTTCATTTGGAACATATAAATTAACATTTGTTGAACCTAAAAATTTAATATATTTGAATCAATCTGAAATGCCATTTTAATTGGAACAAAATAAAGGTGCATACCTATATCAGTTGGAATTGATATCAATTTTGAAGTAAAGATACGACTGGTGTAGATTGCATTTGGGTGAATTTGTTGCTTTTTATTTATATGCGTAGAAATTTTTGCTTGCGATTCTATTTTCTCATCAAGTTCATCTAATTTCTGCTTCTCTAGTTTAAGACACTCTTTGATTTCTTCTGTTTTAGGATTTATTAATGAATTATAGTATTGAAAATGCAAAGCGTTCAGTTTCAAATTATCATCATATGGACACAAGATAGATCCGATAAAACTTTCAAATTCCTGAGCAGTTGGTCTGTTTTCTGGAATAGGGTCCCAACATTTTTCAATAATAAATTTACACCATCCGGGAATATCATTTGGTATCGTGGGTCGTACTCCTTTATAGATGCCTATTACAAGATCTCTGTCATGACTTCGTTCACAGAATGGCGGTTTACCAGTTACAATCTCGTACATAACCATCCCAATGCTATAAATATCTGTAGCTTTAGTGTATGGCTTGCCTCTTAGTACTTCTGGACTCATATAAGGAAGTATTCCATAAATTTCTTGATTATTTATATCTGCTTGGTCGGTAAGACCAGC